AGATTTAGCCGCTGTTGAAACTGATCCTCAGCTGATTACAGGAAGCTGGGGGCAGAGCAACTCTGCCTCGGGCTTCCTGTAGTCAGCCGCTGGTCAGTTTCAGCAGCGGCTGAATCTGGACGTCAGTTCCGACTTACATACAAATTCAACTTAAGAACAAACCTACAGTCCCTATCTTGTACGTAACCCGGGGACTGCCTGTACTACAAATGGGTTATTCTCTCCCACATGTTGGCATACAATTATGGTGCAGATTTCAAGAGGTGGATCCAGGGGTAACAGCTGGAGAGGGAAAATGGTTCCTTTTTTTCATGACTAACATCCCATCAAACAATTGGTTCCTCTTCGTGTCAGTCTACACTTCCCTTTACCTTTGCATGGTATGTACTCGAACTCATTCTCCACCAGAAGATGACTAGAGTTACTAGATACGGTGGGTAGAAGATGCCCTCCTTCTGATAACAGGCAAGCTGGACCTGTGTCTGGCATCGTAACACTTCTGTTCATTAGATTAGCACTTTTCATCCAAGGTTGTCAAAGGGCTTCACTGATGGGCAAACTGAGGCAGAGAGAGCAAAGGGAGTAACTTAGCCAGTGCCAGGCAGTGTTAAAGCCAGAAAAGACTATAGCTGTTCCAGATCCCAGCATAAGGCCCTATCCTCCTAAGGCATATTACCTTTCACTGGAAGGCCAAAGGAGGGTAAACAGAATCAAGCTGGTGTCTATGTATCTTTATTATGGAGTGAGAACATCCTGTTTCATTTAAAAAGAGGACATTTCAAGGTTTTTAAAACCCCTCTTTCCTACATGATGGTTCTGCTCAAACAGAATGCGCCTCTCCAAGATCTCTCAGCAGCAAGCCTGCCATTTGTTTCTAATTACTGCTGTGTATGTCTCTGCTGAAATGAAATACATGCCAGGGTAACATTCTTTACAGCACAGTGTTTACTTAGAGAGTTTATTACCTATTTTTACTGGAATAATATGGAATGTAGTCAGTCAAATAAGTCTTTCCTGCTGCTTCTTCTGCAAGAGAGCTGAGCCAGGAAGGAGTTCATCGTGCACAGGTTTTAATGCAATTACAGTACTGAGATTATTTTGCTTTCTAGTTGTTCACACTGGCTGGAATTCACCCCTTCTGGCCAGCCCATGCAAAGTCCCCTCTTTCCTTGAACTCTCAAGATAGCCATCTGCAGCATGTCTTGGCAGGGGAGACCACTGCACACTTCTATATGCAGAGCTCCCCGCTAGTTCAAACTGAGCCGGTGCAGGATGACACATTGCATGTGGGTTGAGGAAGGTGCTGGGGGATTAGCATTTACATTTGTCAAGTGGTATGAAAACCACGTGAGTTCTTCCAGCCAGTTGACTGGATTATCAGCAGGGATGGTCATGAGCTGTGGTTTATTCAGGATTTCTGCAGAGTGGCCCAATCCTGCTCGTGATCAAGGCAGTAGCGAAACAGCTGCTGGTTTTGGGGGGGATTTGGCCAGCAGTGGTCCATGAGCCATGCCATAAAAAGTCTTTTTCCAGTGTCCTACAACTATAGATACACCATGAAAAATAATTCTGGGCTGAGAGCGTGGGAGAATTTCCAGTGTTCAGTTTTTCTTGCAGCTAAACTTTTTAAACTTGTAGCTAAACATTTTTCTAAGTGTAAAAATGCTTTTAGGTTACTGCATGGTCTCTCTTCACGGTGGCAAAACTGGGACATGGTTAACAGCAATAGTTACTTTAGGGCCTAACCAAGTGACCCAAGCATACCCCACAAATCCTACATCTTGGATACGTCTAGACTGGCATGAATTTCCGAAAATGCTTTTAACGGAAAAGTTTTCCGTTAAAAGCATTTTCGGAAAAGCACATCTAGATTGGCAGGATGCTTTTCCGCAAAAGCACTTTTTGCGGAAAAGCGTCCGTGGCCAATCTAGACGCGGTTTTCCGCAAAAAAACCCCGATCACCATTTTCACGATCAGGGCTTTTTTGTGGAAAACACTACTATGCTGTCTACACTGGCCCTTTTGGGCAAAAGTCTTTTGGAAAAAGACTTTTGCCCAAACGGGAGCAGCATAGTTTTTCCGGAAAATCACTGACGATCTTACATGAGATCGTCAGTGCTTTTCCGGAAATTCAAATGGCCAGTGTAGACAGCTGGCAAGTTTTTCCGTAAAATCAGATGATTTTGTGGAAAAACTTGCCAGTCTAGACACAGCCCTTCTGTAAAGGCTGTCTCCATCAGACCTTGTGACTCTTGGGCTTTGGGCTTCTCCAGCTTTGGCATGCCTGTCAATAATTTTTGTGGATTCACATGCTTAATTCATTACTTCCCCAACCCCAGCTGGTCATGAGTGTCAGCTGGTATATGTGGTGCTTACAGAATAAACATAAAAATGAACTTTGTTCCTTTAGGGAGAGCAACATACCTTCATATAGGAGAAGTGATTGACGGAGTGGACATGAGAGCAGAAGTAGGGCTTCTAAGCCGAAATATAGTGGTGATGGGAGAGGTGGAGAGGCAATGTTATGAATATAGCAACAGTTTATGCACCTTCTTCGATTTTGACACTTTTGGGGGACACATCAAGGTATAGTATAAATCCTTTACTCATACTCCTCTTCTACGCAGACCCAAACAACATGCAACTAGTAAGGGGGCTGCCACATGGCAGGGACCATCCTGTGAGGGAAGGAGGCCTACAAAGTAAACAAGACATTCCTAGAATAGATCCTTCAAACATTACCTTGCCAGATTGGTGGGGGCTCAGAGCTCACTGCTTACAAAGTTTGGATCCTAATTCCAACTTCCCTAGAGTTTGGGGGTACTCAGTTCTGGGGTTTCAGTTCAAGCCCATCTCCCCTAGGGTATAAATCTAACACGGCTGCTTTATGAAAAGCATTAAAGGCAATCAGTTTTGCCTGAGTTTGCAAACTACGTGACACCATTGTGCAACGGGTTCTTATGACTCTAAATTCTACCCCTTCTATCAACTGTCATAGTCAGAGACTTGCTCTGCCTAACTAATATGAAACAGAGACAAGTAGGGGGTAGTGTTTGAGGAAGTATATTTTATTGGACTAACTTCTGTTGGGAGAAGGACAAGTTTTCGTGCTTACACAGCTTTTGAAGAAAAAGTCTGTGTAAGCTCGAAAGCTTGTTTCTCTCACTAACGCAAGTTGATCCAATGAATAAATGATATTACCTCATCCACCTTGTCTTTCTAGTATCCTGGGACAAACACCGCTACACCAATCCCTCATGCAATAGTGACTATGAAACAAGCAGCCAGATGTTCTTACTGACACTTGACTAGTGTTTTATTGTTCTGCAGATTGGTCTTGGTTTTAAAGCTGCACATATTGAAGGGTTCGAATTGAAACATATGGGCCAACAGACAATGGGACATTATCCAATTCACTTCCACTTGGCAGGCGATGTGGATGAGAAGGGAGGCTACCACCCTCTGACCTATGTGAAGGATGTCGCGATTCACCACACCTTCTCACGCTGTGTCACAGTCCACGGCACCAATGGCTTGCTGGTAAGAAACAGCAATTTGATGGCTGCTTGCCTGATCAACATGTCATATTTGA